CCGAAGGTTCGAGAGAAGTGGCGTGACATTAGTCACGTGACCTCGCTGACGCAACAGTATTATTAGCACTTCGACTGGCGTTTATATTTAGAATCTGTTATTGTTGCCCTAAATGTCGTTTTACAGAAAAAAATTTAATCTTTTAACTACTAAAATAAATAACACTGTTATGAACCCAGTTAGCCTGGAAATAACAAACAAAATGGGTGTTATAAACTCAATTGGCTTAGTAATCTATGATCAATAACAAAGCGATTTATAGATAGCAATAGACAAAATGGTTTAAAGCCGCTGGTCTGGTGATCCCTGGTTAAGAACGAAACTCATTGTAGGCAGCAACAGACAAAATCAGTGTTTATACTCAGCTGGCTTGGTGATCTCAGGTAAAAAGGAAACTCACTGTAAGCAGCAACAGACAAAATGAGTGTTTAAACCCAGCTGGCCTGGTGATCCCTGGTTAAGAACGAAACTCATTGTAGGCAGCAACAGACAAAATTAGTGTTTAAACCCAACTGGCTTGGTGATCTCTGGTTAAGAACGAAACTCTTTGTAGGCAGCAACAGACAAAATGAGTGTTTAAACCCAACTGGCTTGGTGATCCCTGGTTAAGAACAAAATTCACTGTAAGCAGCAAGAGACAAAATGAGTGTTAAAACCCAACTGGCTTGGTGTTCTCTGGTTAAAAATGAAACTCTTTGTAGGCAGAAACAGACAAAATGAGTGTTTAAACCCAACTGGCTTGGTGATCTCTGGTTAAGAACGAAACTCATTGTAGGCAGCAAGAGACAAAATGTGTGTTCAAACCCAGCTGGCTTGGTGATCTCTGGTAATGAATGGAAACTCTTTGTAGGCAGCAACAGACAAAATGAGTGTTTAAACCCAACTGGCCTGGTGATTTCTGGTTAAGAACGAAACTCATTCTAGGCAATAACAGACAACATGTACTGAAGCTGATATACTACAGTCTTGTTACTGTAAATCTGTAGTGAAATAATTAGGATTGAAGTGTTTAGAATTATTATAAGTGTTATTGTAATGTTTTTCAACGTGTTTTACTCAAAAAAGGATAATGTTTTACCAGTGTTAAAACATCTAGTTGGCCTGTACTTGAAATGAATAATACGACTCTTAATTGTTATTCGTTATTAAACAGCTTTATAATAAATGGGTGTTTTTATACTTCACAGAGCATGTTTCTAAAACATCTATTGTTATAGTAAAAGCTGATAAAGGTAATTCAGTAGTTATTATGTACAACAAAGAATATCTAAGAAAATTAAATCCTATCCTGAAAGATAAATCCAATATTTTTCCTATTTCCAAGGGTTTTACCCATCCAGATAACATCAGCTCAACATTTTCCTATTAACACTAATAAAGATAATAATCTCTTTCCTGAAGGGTATGAGTTTTTAAGATCCATCTATTTCAAAACTCCTCAACTATACGGTCTTTTTAAAATTCACAAATAAAACTGCCTACTTTGTCCTATTTTCTCAGCCTATGGTGCACACAGTGCCTAGGTAAGTTTCTAATCTGGTTTTCTATCCGTATGCAACTTCTCTTTCATTGTATATAAAAGAAGTCGAAATAATTCATCCAGAATCTTGAACGCTTTGATTAAGATGCTTATACCTACAGTTCAAATCTCAAAATGATCCTCTTCTTGGAACATTTCTCCTCTGTCTTATTCTTGTTGAATTATTGAAATTTGCTATAAAAATGACCAGTTTTTATCTCATCAACGTAAACTGTGATCAGCTCGATGGCATAACCATGGATAACCCAATTGCCCCTGTGATTTGCCATTTTTATATGATTTCCATTGAACAACATGGTCTAAACACTGCATTAATTTCTTTTTTATAATGAAAACAATACGCTGATGTAGTATTTTGATGATCCAGAACAAATTCAGAGTTTTCTAAAAATATTGAACAAAGAACGCCCTTCTATAAAATTCACCATATAAAAAGAAACACGTAAAACTTCATCATTTCTGAACGTCCTTATAAATAGATGAGGTCAAGACTTCTCTATGAGTGTTTATCGCAAGACCACCAACATTGACCTATTCATATCTTGGAAACTATTTTATCCCACCTATCGAAAAGCAGTAATTTCAAAATCTTTAATTTCTAATGTTACAAAACATTTGCAACATGTGTAGTTTCCATGGCATTCTGAGTTCAGAAATTCAACATCTAAAATCCCTAACCATCTTAACTTCAACAAATTTTCTGAAACTATCATCTAAAATACAGTTACTAACATTCGTAAACATGATTTATGTGACGTCCCAGATAATTTCAAATTAAGTAAAGATGACAATACCTGCTTCTCACCCTACATTACACCAGTCTCTCTCATGCTATACGAAGATTATGGATTTTTCTACGCGAAACACACAATACCAATGTAACGGTTAAATTTTACTCCTGGAACAAATCTAAGCAGTATTTGATCAAATAAATTCCAAGACAGTCATATAAGTAATGTTGTTTATGAATACAAAGCAAGCAACACAGGTGAAACCGGGACAAAGTTCAATACCTGAATAAACGAACACAGTCATCCACCTTCTTACATCTTTCAACATAAACAAGACTGGTCACAATATCTCTTCTTAATCTTTCCACGTAATTTTTAAGGAAAGCAACTACAAAAAAAATCAAGAAAGCTCGTTGATATGAATTTAAAAAAATCCTCTATAAACAAATATCTTGGATCCCCGCTATATTTATTCACTAACTGTTTTATGACTGGTTCACTTAAACTGTTATATTTTCAAACATAATTCGCCAACATTCATTCGTACGTTGTACATGTTGATGACAAGAAACTTGTCAAAACGTCGTAATTTCATTTTCTTGTTTTCATCATCCTGTATAGCTGTTTTGTAAGTTTATATACTTAACTTACTATGTCAGTCTATATAGTTTAGCCCATGTGACGATAGCAACTAAATAAACAACTTGTTGTATGGTTGTGTCTTTTACAAAATATAAAACTCATTTTCATTAAGTAATAAACCCCTCCCTAAAGCCAAAAGTGTAGAACATGTTCAGAGGGTTATTGCGATTCGAGCGTTAAACCTTTCGATTCCACAACCCTGTACGCTAAACACTGGGCCAGGCTTGGTCCACATCTTTTATAACAGTTATAGTAGAAGTAATATTAAATTGTGTTATCTATTATGATACAATTATTTTGATTTGATGAAATTCGCAATTTTGAATATAATCAAGATGATAAAGTCGTATTTTGAAATTGGACGAGGTGACCATAGCATATTTCTCAAGCAGTATATATATATATATATTAGTTTCTAACAAAATTTCCTTGTTAGATTTCACTACTGATATTGTCGTTTTGTGAGTTACATGGCACGAGGGCCCTTATAATTCGCACCTAAAACTACAGTTATCGAAGCTTTTGAAGATTTAATATACGATGCAAACATCCCAGTATTATTGTCAACATAGAAAATATGACTCTGAACTGAAACCAACATCACGAAAGAATTCTCAGATTGTTAAAAAAAATCATTCACATATGCAAGTGTAAAGCAAACAAATTTTTGTGACTGTAAATGAAGGTTAAGTCACATATAAAAATTAATGGGATTTTTAGCAAGCAAGCATAATATAAGACCAGTTTATTTTGCATAATAAGATATCTGCGAGATAGAGAGGAATTTAAGCATGGAAAAAGTAAACAATAACAACTCTGTAAATGAACAGCACGTTCTTTATATACAGCCTTAGTTACAAAGGAATGAGATAGATTGGACAACGTGATTGGGATCTAATTGGTCTTGTAGGATACACATATATCGCAGATACAATGATGCATTTATAATGTGTTCTCGTACCTGGAAACGTAAAGCTTAGTTATTTTTATTTTTCTTATAACCTATAGCATTGCAGTTCTATACACAAAGAACTAAGTCCTTAGGTAATGGAATAAAGACTTAGTTTTCTTGTATGTTACTTTAATTCAATAATTTTTCCAATAAAGTTAAATAATTACTTGGAAAGTAATTGTGACAATTATTTTTAGAAAATAAGAGCTTTTAGTGCTGTGCTATGACAGCAGTTAAAGTGCTCAAGAAATCTGATTCAGTAGTCTTGAAATAATAACATACCTATAAGTTATCATATGGTGACATTTCAATCACAGAAATCTACGTAAAATTTACAATGCATCGAAAACATGATTAACATTAAAAAGTGAAAATTATTATACTATGAAACTATTTTATTGCAATTATTACCTTAGAATATGATATTATCATCACAGAAAAAGTGTAAAATACAGAGTGAAATGAATCAAATCTAGGACTGTTTTCATTAGAAAAGTTGATATTTTGACCTATAACACTCCAAGAAAAAGTTTATGAATGTAAAATAGTTTAGTTTAGTCTAATAAAGATATATGTGTATATAAACATTCTCTTCCTATTAAAACTGGTAAAACGTAACTGAAGATTGTAAGTCAGTTAAAGCCTCATTTTAGAAGTACGTTTTACAATTCGTTTTAGCATTCGAGAGAGAATAATTCAGAATAACTGTAGACATAAAATTCATTACAATTAACCCTGTACTAAGCTACAAGATGAGGCGCTTGTAATAGACAAACACACGTTGATATGATTGCAAAGAGAGAGAAGATAATCAAGCACACACGATCTACAACCATCGCGGCAAACTTCCACTCTGCGACAATATCATTGGCTTCGTCTTCTTCTTTCATTCTACTTGTTATAAAACGTAATTCCTTCAAAATAGAATTAAGTTCTCGTTGTGTGTGAATGCAACTATGCGGTATCGGCGTTTCTTCGGTGGAGGCGACGTGTAGATATCCGCTGGTGCTGTTTTGAAGTCTGAAATCATCGTCAATATCTAGGACATTAGCAAGTAGGCTTCGCGAACACCTCTCTTTGAGCTGGAGCTCCTTTATTTTGTTATTTATCTGACTTTTCTTGTTTTCCTCATATTTACCGTGGCGTCTCATTCGAAGAATTTTTGGCAGCCAAACAAGGAATAATGTCTTTATCTAAAACAAATCAAAATAGTTGTGTTCATATAAGCGACAGTTGAACATATAGGACACATTTTGATTTTTCAAGAATATTAAATATTTACTTTTACTTTAATATTATGATGATTCTGAGTTTTAAAACAGCAAGTAACATATAACAAAAAAGTAATTGCATGAAAAGTATAAAAACATGTTTTATAAATTCTCACTGTCCAATTATGATGGAACTTTGATTTCTATTTTCTTTTTCATTTATAATTAGCTGTGATAAGGTCGAGAAACTCCTTAATACTCCTAAACCTAGTGATCAATTGTAGGATCTTAACATTACTTACGACTATTTCAGGGTATTCAATAGTGTAACACAAATGGAAACATATTTCCCAAGAAGAAGTTTCTATTTTGATTATGCTTCATTTAATATTAAACTAACAAAATTAATTACTGCACTCGTTGTGATCAATATAAAAGCAATATATTTATTAGTTTGAATGTATTTATAAGTATTTTTGAACACTCACTAATGAAATACATGTGAAATACACCCTTACACAGATTGTCTGATTATTCATATCATAATGAAGCGAAAATAAACTCGTAAGATGAAAAATTGGTTACCTAAGGAAATAAATTACACGTTTTATGGTTTAAACATAAACAAAAGAATTAACTGTTAATACGAAACAAAAACTGATTCTATACTTCATCACCACTTAATTAATTTAAAAGGACCTCTGAATTTTACTTTATATTACGTATATCTTTTACGTAAAATGTGTTGTAAAAGATATACGTAATATAAAGTAAAATTCAGAGGTAAAATGTGTTTCATAGGTTGGATAAAGGTTTTTAATACTGTTTTGCACCAAGTTTGGTTTAGTAATTTGTATTCTTCTACCTCTAAAGACAACAGCTTGAGTCTCTGTTAACCGACCAAATAGCCCCGAAAAACTAGTTTTAAAGCACAAGAGATCAAACATACAAATCACTTCTGTATAAAAATATTCTAGCTGGCGTGCTATTCCATTTCTTTTTTGAACTCAAGCTTTGACAAATGATTGAAATACGTGAGAAGAAAATATTACAGCTGTGAGTAGATTGAGCCATCCATCTCTGTGGTTGTTTCCGAAAACACATTAAAATGTGGAGATCCATTATCCATAGAAATATAGTATTTAAAAAGAGCGGTAACGCATACAACAAGGGATATTGTGATATAGAAATCTATTATTGAGATACTGAACTCTCACGTGAGAAGAATAAAACTAATATTTGGATAAAAAATACGTTTGAGGTTCAAATTTGGAGTATCGCAAACTGAGTAGCAAAGTTTTGTGAAGCCAATAGTTTGGTACATTTGGCAAAAATATAAACATTGAACAGTTATTTGATTCATTCTGAGAGTAGAGTGCATGTAGTGAGATTTGTTTGTCCAAGTGTCACGTAAGGTGTATTATTAATTCCTTTGTACTTTCTAGCATCCAGATTCATCTGTACGTGTATGAATTTGTTTGTCTTAGTGATATTTACAGTGTGTCAGATTAATTTTATTACAAGTATCCAGATTCTTTTTTACGTGTATGGATTTGTTTTTCCTTAAAGTGTATCAAATTAATTCCATTATGCTCTCTAGAAATTACAAGTGCTGTGTAAAATAGAACTATTTAAATACTGGTGGAAAATGGTCGCTGATATAATTACGTGGTAAAAAATAAAAGAATATGTAAACAAAAGTATCTGTTAAATGTCTTAAATCCTTTTGTTAAAAGTTGGTTCTTGAAGGCGGAATTCAGTTTGCATGTGTGGCATAATTTCGTCACAGAAAATAAAGATTATTAAAAGTTGTCTGTTTTCTTTTGTGTCACTAACTTGCTAAAGTCGCGCATTTGAATAAGCTTGGTAATGACAAGCACAACGAGGAAACTATTTTCACCATACTAGTAGACTATATTAAGAGTGATATACAAACACGTGCTAAGCTTATATAAATAGAGGTTATGTCTTCCATCATAATGCATTATGGAGAGATTTACACATGAGTGGTAGTTCTTGAAAGTAGCTTTCTGGTAGACTAATATATGGGAATCATCAGTGATAAAATATAGCAGTGGAGCGTGTAATTAAAATTTATTGAAAATCATTCTTAAAATGTTATAAAAAGAACAAAAAAGCCGTGGTTCACAGGGATTATATAAGTTTCAAGCCTAAATATAACCAAAAGCGTGATGGGGTTAATAATGAAATATACATGGTTTGTAGCTGTTAAAACAAGTGCAAAAATAAAGCATAATATATATAGTAAGCACACGTACTTTGAAGTTCTATCATAATTTTACAATTTCATAGTAGTGATTTACAACAAAATTGCTTAATAAAGAAACACCACAATTGATGTAGTATTCTGTTGATGCATTCTTTGGTTTAGACACATCATATTTAGTCCTAGCATCACATTGTTCAAGTGGTTTAAAGCACCTGACAAACTAACTAAAAATCACACTATTTCAATGTTTTATAGATATATTTTTGAAATGCTAAATAGCATGTTATATTTTTTCTATTGTTATATAAACACTTAAAGGGAGGAGTTAAGCGTGGCAAAGTTTATATCGTGCCGGACTGTGGATAGGCAGGTTCCTCATTCATGAGCCCTTAACACACAATCGCTTTCTTCATTTAGAGAGCCTGGATGCGCTATAAAGATGACGGTCAAATACCGCTATTAGGTTAGTCGAGAGTAGCTAAAGATTTGGCAATAGGTGATGTAAACTAGCTCTGTTCCCTCTAGTCTATCAGTTCCAAATTACGGAGGCTAGCGCAGATAGTCTTTAAATAGTTTGCGCGAATATTCGAAAGCAAAGAAACTTAAAAAAAAGTACCGTCCGCTCTTGCATTATTGTATAAACATCAAAACCTGTAGTATTATTTTTAAAGTATAAAAGTGCATGAAATTGAAGCGAAAATGCAATGTTGTCAATCTGTTGAACTCTTCTTATAACTAGCTTCAAACATTACACAAGTGTTTTGTGCTTGAATTGTTTTCTATATATATAACAAATTCTCGATAGCAGTATTCATATATCAATTTATACACTTGATAGAAATGAATAAAAACGCTATAACCCGAGCGCTCTCGAAAGGTGGACCTTTCCTCTTCAGAGGTAAATTGGAATGGTCCTGAAGAAGAAAGGTCCACCTTTAGAAAGTGCTCGGGTTATAGGATTTGTATTAATTTTTATCAAGAATTCTTGAACCTACGTGCTTTTCTAACATCGCTAATCAACTTATACACTGATGTGCTATTGCCTCACTGTTTTATAAACAAATAATTTAATCCACATAAAAGCCAGTGTGTGTCACGTCACGCTTGAGTAATAAAAGTAATAAAATGTACTATATAGAAATATTGAGCAAAATTATTTTATAATTTTGTAGTAGAATGTATATTTGTATTGTGGTACTAAATATCTAATAACTTTATGATATTACATTGTTTAATAAACATATAATACATTTCAATACAGTTATTGCGTATTTGATAATACTTTTATACTTTGTTATAAACTTTCCTTGAAATTATGCGTCAATTTACATGTTACAATATGTGCAATTTTTTAATTGTTTTGACATTGTAAATGTTTTTTTTCTTCTATACAACTGCTCGAACAAGTATGATGTGAATTGTTTATTTTTGTTTTAAGAGTGCTTCAGGTTTTGGATTTTCTCTCGTGTTATATATTAGATTTGTGTATTGACACAGGTTTTAGAGCTTGCGTGGTTTTTACCTGTGATAAGTGTGATGTATTGATTATTATATATTTATTTTAATATTGGTGTTTGTTAAAATTAAATTGATAATACTTATACTGTTAAATATGTATTGCGAAATTTCCGCCTATTCTCTAAAGTTGTAGAAGATTCTCGAGCGTAAGAATAAACAGTATGTGTGTGTCTACGTAAACGCTAGTGTTATTGTCAGTATTGTTACGTAAACTGAAATTTCGAAAAACTCTCCACGCGCCTATAAATATAACCAACGTGACGCGCCAAAAACAGTATCTATTATTGGTTTGCTATAGTAGAAGTGCTATAAACTTCGGAAGCTATAACTGTGATTGTTATAACGCCTATTAATCGGGACACTTCAGATATTTGACCAGGGACATTTATAAATTTCGAACATTACAAACCATTTAGCTTCAGTGAACTCACATTGGACATTAGTATTTTTACGAAAACATTACCTAACGTCATCGGTGAAAAAAATCGGCTTGTGATCAGTGAAGACGACAGGGCTAGCTAGCTTCCTGTAAAGTGAATTATACCTACATCAACTAGAAATTAACATGCTCATCGTCAACCGTTGATAAGATATCAAGAAAGTTCCAAACTAGAAAGAAGTCTTTATATTGCTTGTAAGTTTGTGAAACTTTTGTATATAAATCATTGTTTGTAATAACTGTTATTGTAAATTGTATTGTTGTTTGTATAATAAAACGTATTTGTATTAAAAAGAAAACTGTGTGTATTAATCTTGTTGGCAAATATCATAAACTGGATACATATCGGCATTTATTTAATTAGTAAATCTAAATTACAATTTAACTCAGTTTTAGCTTATTTGAAATTGTAATACATAACATAAGTGCAAAGCTCCTGCCAACTTTCTAGAATTATTGTGGTGGTTACTTTTATACAAGTTATTTCGGTAAAATTATTAATGTTTCTTATATTTAATTTTTCATAAATACCATTCCATTTGTTCTTATCAACCCACACTTTGTCTCTGTTGCATTTTTAAACATATTCTGTTCTTCTATATTCATTACGTAGTAGATTTTTTTGAAGTCATGTCAAGCTACTTCAACTATTTTGTTTTCGTATAACGTATTTCTTAGGTTAACTGTATTTTTATTGCACAAAATCAATATTGTATTGTATTAATTTTTAATGAATTAATAATTTTACCAATTGTACATTTGATGTATTAGATTGTAGTCATTTTCATTGTTTCA